AAGATTTCTGACTGAGTCTAACAAAGTTTGCTTGCTGTTGGTTGATTTTACAATTTACCGTCCTGTGGACGTCGAGAAGATTTCTGGATGGCGCGAAAGTACTAATCGAAATTTGGAAGTGCAGTTGGGTCTGGCCCTATTTCAAGAACGTCAATGCTGTTGAAATTGGTCCTTTTGAAAGTTAGGGTATGCTTCTTAAAAAGATTATTTTCACATCCTACAAGGAAAAACATGTAAATCGTAGTCTTTCATAATGAGATGCCTGTTATTATACTTGAAGCACCGATTTCAAACCTGTTTTCATTCCCTGCGGAATGTTTCTATGAAAGAAATCTGCCCAAAATAGCTTAGATTATTTATAATTATTCTCAAAGTAAAATCTGGAATAAATTCAATGCATGTTTTTACTTTGGAATGGAATCGAAAATCACAATGCCTTTCATAGAAACGACCATAGCTAACGGAGGCAGGTTTGAATCAACGCTTTACGCCCTACTCATTGTTATCAAAGATACTTTATAATAAATGTATTCCCTTGTCAGTTACAGGTGCTACTACGGATAGGTGAAGTAACAGAAATGCTATGATTTAAGTCACTAGAACGTGCTAAGAGGTCTTGCTTTAAGTGCATTACTAATGCATTTTACATACAATTTGCTAGAAGTTTCTGTAGGTCCCCTCAGAACTTATGTTTTCAGCAGTCACGGTCTTTCTAAATAGATTTTTGTTGAATGTATTCAATATTGTTTGAATTTTACAATATTGAGTAAACTTCTACAAGAAATTAGCATGCTTTTTAGTATCTTTTTTTCGCTGACGTACACAGTTTTTCCATCAACATAATCAGATACATAAACCAAAACTCTATAGCGAAAAGTACAATTCAGTATATACAAAACCATTCTTTGAGATTTTATCACGTCTCATTTTAACAAGCCCAAACCACGGGTCTACGGTATCAAACAACAAAAAAGTATGCTAAAAATTAATGAAATCAATCGAGCTTTTGATTTGATATCATATTCAGCAG